GTCGCTTAGGAGCCCAGCTCACTAGATCAGGTCTAGAGTCCTGAGTTTTTGAATTTCAGCCTTCCTTCTTGAACTCTGGACAAACACAACTTTTTAGGACTTGGAGACTCATGTATGCCGAATAAGAAGTAGTACTAAACTCTTGACCTGGAATAGGATAAGATTTGAGCTCAGCCCTTGGCATTCGGTGCTCCCTTGGAATGGCAGTTAGGATTAATGCCAGAGGACAAAAGGGCAGGTCGCCCACCCCTCAGAGGCTCTTAAGTATGTCTGTAGTGGTGGGGGTGGAGACAGTGTTTCATTTTGACTTACTTCAAAGGGGAAGCTCTCTGGGGTCTTCCCGGCTGCACCCCGCCCCCACTCCACCAGCGGACCTTGGATACGAACGCCTGGCCCGTGTCCCCGCGCACCCAGCCGCCGAGCCGTTGCGCTTGAACCCACAGAAAGAATCCCAGCTCTCGACGGCAGGGGAGTGGGAGATACTCGGCACGCAAATCTGCTGACCCCCGCCCCGGCCCACCCTGCCCAATCGGCGCCCTTTTAAGGGTTGGGACCCTCTGCGGTGCTGGGTCTCAGTTCTGCGCGGAGGCGCTACAGGTGTCCGCTGGGGACCTAGGCCAGGCTGACTGCCAGCACAACACCGCATAGGAGATTTCTTTCTAGGGAGGCAGAACAGCAGTAGCAGCAGCAGAGAGAGAGGGACAGAAGGGGGCAGCCGGGAGAGCTAAAGCCAGGAACTGCGGTGGGCGAGGGCCGTTAGCCCTTGGCGTGCACCGGATCTCTGGGAAGGTGGGAGGAGACAGTCCCATGGCCTGCCCCCACCCAGTCTAGTACAGTGCCCAGCCCTTACTCAGCCCTCCTGGCGGCTTGACAGGCGAGAATGGGCTGAGTCACAGGCCCTGAAAGGTGTCACAGGGGTGTCGCAACGGGGGTGTGCCGGGTTCTGTGGGGAGAGCCAGTCCTCCCCTCCAGTCGTTCCCAGATGTCATTCTGCCCGCCCAGGCGCTTGGTTCCTGAGTTCCGGGGCATTCCACGGTTACTAAGTTACTGGTTTTTGTTGACTTTTAAATATTTTCTTCTACGGGAGAGGGGGAGGGGGGCAAAAGTCAGGAAAGAGCAAATAAAAGCAAGTCAACATAAGCCCCCCTTCCCCAAAAGAAAGTTGCCCCCTACTCCTCATCCCCACCCAAACAAAACGCCTCTGAAACCCATCCCTTGGCTGGAGCATCAGCCAGCTAGAACTGACTACTTCCCAGGCCCAGTCTTTAGCTCCCTTTCTGGTGAATGAGGGCTGGTGGTGGACAGTCCCTTTGTCTCCCAGCCCTGGGTGGACAAAGGGGCTTCCGGAAAGAGAGAAAGAGGATGGCCAGTGGAAATGGGCTCCCTCCATCCTCGGCCATGGTGGCCAAGCGTCCCTCCGCCCTGGGGCCATTCCCCAGATACGTGTGGATCCACCAGGACACACCCCAGGATAGCCTAGATAAGATTTGCCATGACATCTGGAAGAGAGTTCAGGGCTTGCCGGAGTCCCTGCAACCCAGGACCTCGCTGGAGAAACTCTCGGCGCCGATGACCGCGACTGTCAGCTTCCAAGAAGAGTGAGTAGTGCCCTGTTTGGTTGATTATCAAGGAATGGAGGGAGGGGAAATGAAGTCTGACTTAGGGTTGAACTCTCTCTGGCCAGTGTTAAACTCTATAAACATTTTCTTCATCCCTTAGTATGGGTAGTTTGGAGGAGGGAGCTGGCCACGGTGCTGAAATTCCAGGAGCAAGGGAAGAAACCATTCCTGATGGCTTCTTTCCAGATACTAAGGAGACATTGTCATTCTAAAGGCATAGACAACTAAGATGAAAATCTGGGGTCCTGGCAAGAGTATTCTCACCAAGCCTAGGGGTAATATCACTGTCCCCAGAGGCAACTAGGTGATCTTTCCCCTCTCCCAAGAAAAGTTCAGGCATTGGCACAGATGAGTCTGATGGCTGGAAACCACATCTGGAATCCCCTAATACAGAGAGCAGCTGTCCCATTCAGCATCCACAGAGCTACTGCAAGAGCGCACATCAAAATATTTACTGGGAAGGCATTGACATATTCAGAGGACATAATAGAAAATTAAAGTGCGGGAAGATGACTGTAAATAGCCGGTTTCCCGGATGGGAAATCCCATGTCTGGGAAACACAGAGCTAAGTGTTTCTGCACTAGGAAAAAGTTGAAGAGATATTGTTGGGGCTGGATATTGGAAATGAGAGGAAGGAGCAGAGAGGAAGAAGGGATCTCATTAGGAGAAGGAGTGCATTCGTTTTGGTGATTAATGTCACTGCTGAGTACTCTTTCAAGGCTCTGCACCTTCAAAGTGGGCTGCAAGCGTTAATTAATCCTCCCAGCATCCCTATGAAACAGGTATTAGTGTCCCCATTTTACAGATGGATTAAGTGTTAATAATTAAGTGCCAATTAAAGCCTAAGTGATAATTAAGTGTTGTCTGCCCCCAACACATGCTCCAACTCAGTTCAGAGATGGGGGAACCATTCAGGCATTTATCAGCTGCCTCAGGTTTCAGGGCTCTCTAAGCAATAGCTGAGAGGGAAAGAAAAGTATAGCAGATGCTCAGGTCTGCACTTCCTGCAATCCCTTTGCAAGCTCCTTTGCTTGATGCAGATGAAGGTAGAAGGCATGCTGGCTGCTTCTGCCTCCTCTGCCCTATGCTCAGCAGGACCCGGCTCAGATGGAAATGGCCTTTCTATAGCCAGAATCCTGTGGCTAGTCTTTTCAGTGGCACCGAGCTCCTCTGTCTTGTTCATTGCCATCTGCTCTGGGACAGTGCCTTGGCATGGGAAACCTTGGGGGCTGTACTCAGCTCTCTCAATGGCCAAGGAGCTGATTGTCCACTTTCTGGATCATAGGTCAGTAGCAATTTCCAGTAGATAGCCCCTTCTCTGCCAGGTCACACTGAATTCATGGAGACAGACTCTACTTCCAGTCCACACTTGGCCAGAAATTGAACTAGCCTACCTTTGGCCAGTTGATTCATTCTGTTTGGCCCTGATTTCCTCATCTGCAAATTGAGGATGATGTGCCCTGCCTTGTCAACTCAGAGTCGATAATGAGGGTCAAATGTGATGGGAAACAAAGAAATGAAAGATGCATTATAGAAACAAGACCGCCTTAATATGTAATGCACCGAGTTTTGGGGTGGGAGGGTTACTGCTGTTGGCTTTCTTCTGGAGTTTTCATGTGGTCTCCAAGTCCCAAGGGTGCTTCACACAGCCACCCTAGAGTCAAGTGGGTTGTCTGCTGGGTCCCACACATACTTTAGTCAGAGCTGTTCAGGCTTTTGTTGGTTTTACTACTGGAGTTCTGAGTATGGTTGCATTTGAAAGAGTTTGGTGACTGAGAAGAGACCCAGGAAACCACCTACTTGGAGGAATAAACCACATCATAGTTGTAGCTATCCACCTGGTAGAACACAATGAGAACTTCATGAAATGAAAGCCAGTGCTTCTGGAGTCAGACAACCAGGTTCAGCCCCGCGCTGGATGCAGAACTGTGACTGTATGGTGGATCTTAACTTTGGTCATCTGCCAAATGGAGGTGACAGTAGGGGTTGCTGGAGGTGGCAAATCTGAATCGTTCAATGGTCCTGCTAGTAATTAGGATTCATAAATTGCTTCTAAGAACAGCAGTTATAATTTCTGTAAATCTTGAAATTTTTGCAGGCAAGAGGTAGTACCTTTTCAAATTCCCCATTCTTTTTTCACTATACAAATTTGCAAACCCCCAAAATAAAGGTAGCGAGAGCCTATAGATCTAAATTTTTAATTTTTTTTTAATTTTTTATTTTCTGTGCACTCATGTTTTGCCTGCATATATATCTGTGGGAACCCCATGTTCTGAGTGATGAAGGGTAAACTTTAAAACTAGAGGGCACACCACTGTTTCTTATGTGTTCAGATACACACCTGCTGGGTTTTCCCCTGCCTAATGTGTAGAGTTTTGATGGGGGAGGTCCTTCTGTGCATATGTTTGTCTTATTGGCTGATAAATAAAGTACTGTTGGCCAACAGGGAAGCAAGATAGGTTGGACTAGGAGGGTTCTGGGAAATGTAGTAAAGGGAAGTCTTGTGATCCAGGCAGGAAGTGACATAGCAGGCAGACTTAAAATATAAGCAGGGACAAGCAGGAAATCGTTCTCTCTCTTTCTCCTCGTCTCTTCTCTGGGAGCCTCCATGTGAGCCCAACAAGAGAGGATGCATGTCAGATAGGTCTTTATAAAATATATAGATTAATAATTATGGTTGATACTTAAGACAGAGATAGCAGATAAAAAATCCTAGCCATTGGCCAGCAGCATTGTAATTAATATAAGACTCTCTGTGTTATTTCAGGCACCCACATGGTGGTGGGGCTTGGGTGGCTTGGCGGAAAGATGTATCGTTACAGAGTTTGGTTTGGTGGTGTCTCGTTTTAGGATTGCTAAGCAAGTTCTTGAGTCGTAGTATTCACCAACTTTAAAGTTTTTTTTTTAAGTATTTATGTATATGGGTGTTTCGTGTGTATGTCTGTGCACCACATGTGTGCCTAGTGTCCACAGCAGCCAGAAGAGGGCATTGGTTCCCCTCAATCAGAAGTTACAGACAGTTGTGAGCTGCCGTATAGGTACTAGGAATTGAAGCTGGGTCCTCTGGTAGAGTACCCATTGTTCTTCACCAGAGTCATCTCTCCAGATCCCAGAAAAAGTTTCTTGACATGTCCCTAAATGTCTCAGAAACCTGGACATGCAGTTTTGCCTGAATTGCCTGAGTCACTTCTTTGATGTCCTTGCCAAGCAGTCCTTCACACCCTCTCAGATGGAGAAGTGCCATGTCTGAAGCTGTCAACTCTCACAGGGGCTTTTTTTCCCCTAGAGCTGAAATCTGTTCCCATCAAACTAAGTGTATTCTTTTCTTGGGGCTCCAGAATTACTATTTGTTCTCCATGTAGTGCTTTAGATGGGAAAGGACAACAGCAGTCCCCTCCCAGGGTTCTTTGTCTTTGTAAACTGAATACCCCTGGTTTTCTTTTACTCTTTAACTGACTTGTATATTGGCTTCCTGTTCATATTTCTGAGGCTTATGGCAATGGGTTCCCAGAACCAAGTGCAGATATGTGGGTGGGATCCATGCATGCTGAGTGTATCCCCTTTGCTTCATATTCCTGTTAGTGATGATGACACCACAGTCACATTCCTTTTCATGCTGTGTTTGCTCTATAGGCACATAGGAGTTCATTTACTCAATCAAAAAATATTTATAAGTAGCTACCGTGTGCCCAGTGCAGCGCTAAGTGATGGGGGACAAATCTTTTGAGCCAGATAAAATAACAGAAAATAAGTAAAATTTACACAACAACAACAACAACAACAAAATCCATGATAACTTCAAACTGTGAAGGTATTCTCATTGGAGGAGACCAGTGATAAGCGCATAAAAGAGGTGAGATAATATCAGATAGCAACCAGTGTAATATGGAAACAACATCCAACAAAGAAATAGCAAGAGACCTGTTAGGCTGAAGTACAGGAGCCTGTGAACCGAGTCTCAGAAGCCAATAAGCAGCTGGTTGTCTGACAGTTCTGGAGGAAACATCCAGGTGGAGGACAGAAGATACAACAAGCACAAGGACCATGAGAGGATGATGTGAGCTTTGGGAAAGATAGTGTGGCTGGAGGGCCCAGAGGGATGGGGACACAGTGCCAGCTGACACCCGAATTAGGCTGGCGAGGTCTTAGGTGACCTCAAGGTGTTACCATACAGAGCAAAGACCTCATACATGTGTGGTGGCGCACTCTGGGAGGAATTTCAGAGATCACTTCAGTTTCTTCACGGGGATGGCTTAGGATGTGTGAAAGAAGTCAGAGGTCTCTTGGAAGATGCTACAGTAGACCAGCTGAGGCCCACATGGGGCAGTATCTGTCCCACAGATGGAAGGAGTAGGGGGTTCCATGTGCAGCATGAGGAAAACGGGCCCTGCTGATGTCTTGGGCACACCAAGACAAAGAGGTGGGGTGTAGGGTTTTTACCCTGTGTTACAAGTTGAACAATGGTGCCATTTAAAGGGGTGGGGGAAGAAGTGGGGAGAAATGGGTTTTGGCAAGAAATCAATAGTTCTGTCTAGAGTCAATTAAACTCCAGAATCCTGCTCAGTTATCTTTTAATTAGTCTTAAATTTGGGCTTAGAGAATTGTGGCAAGCCACTTACTGACTCATATTCGAGGATTACATCTTCACTCATTCTCCACAGCATCGCTAATAAAATTCCTCAGTCTCAGAATGGGGGCTTTGGGTTTTCTGTTGACTCTATCGCTCTCACTACAGAATGGTACTAGTTCGTTTGTTTCTGTTTTGATTCCTTCAGTGAATGTTTACCATTGCCTTCTGTAGACCAGACTCAAGTGCTAGGCCATAGGGATACAGGGCTAAGAAGGGCAAAGCTCCTGCCCTTGAAGAGTTGCCTGTCCAGTGAATAGGGTGGGCACAGACTCATCACACAGCAACAATAGCCAGGAAACATTTAATGTGCACTTACTGTTTTCAATATAACGTTCTGGTGAAACATTA